AGAATGAACTAAACGCAGCGGAAGATTCAAGACATCGATTGAAAAAAAATATATATTCTATTTAACGCTTCTCAGTCGCGTTTGTTAAGAGCGGAACGTAGCGGGCTACGGGAAAATGCCTTGTAGATTATTCAAATTAAATTGTTCCAAGTGTGTTATTAGGATTAAAAATAATAGTCAACATTAGAGAAATTAAAAATTATTAGGACAAATATTCTTTATGAATAAATAATTATAAATATGTTCAATGGTAGGCAATGGGAGGGAGTTAAGCTGTTTTCTTTTCAATAGAACACTATTGACCAAACCAACCAGTATTACACATGTCTTGAGTATACTCAGTTCAAAACTAAGTCTTAATGGGAAGTCCAGAAGCATTTTAATAAGTAAAAATATTTTCAAGGAAGGAGATGGTCCGGGTGCCGATCGTAAATAGACTAAATAGTGGCAAGACTATTTTATTAAAAACCAACGTTTCAACCCGACTTTACAGGTCTTTTTCAAGGCTAGAACGGACAAGATACAAAAAGATATAAAGAATTGTGGAAGTTACATCATATTTAGATAAAAAGTTATAACCAATGTGGATAAACTTATTAAAATTATGAGCAGTTTGTACATTAAAATATTAAGAACAATAACTTGTACGTTGTATAAACAACTTAGTTTATACAACTTATTGTTCTTAATATTTTAATGTACTTACTGTTTATAATTTTAATAAAATTATTCACATTGGTTATAATTTTTTATCTAAATATGATGCAACTCCCACAATTCTCTATATCTTTTTGTATCTTGTCCGTTCAAGCCCTGAAGAAGACTTGTAAAGTCGGGTTGAAACGTTGGCTTTTAATAAAATAGTTTTGCCACTATTTAGTCTATTTACGACCTCCGCCCGGGCCATCTCCTTCCTTAATAACGCAGCTGCCAACTATTAAATATTCAATAAAAATATTTTCTTTAGTGTTTATTGTAAATTCTACATTTTATGCAATCCGAAATATTGCCATTATATCGATACGTTCATCAATAATTAACTTTTATTGTTTTGTTTTTTTCATTTTATTTTATTTTTCTATAAATTTCTGATATTGAAATTATTCAAGCTGAATTAATTTTCAGAGATTTATGCAATGTTTTTTTTTCTTTTGTATAGGCAACATTTCTGCCGTTACGCCATCCTCAGGCAAATCTTAAAATACTTCACCAAAATTAACATCTTACATACCAGAACCTCATTCGGATAGTGCTTAAATATATTAATTAATCATAAATAAATATATATTAATTTGTTATTGTCCTATATGGAACTAGGTCAATTATCTTACAATATGAGACACACATAGTCATTAATTTAGCGCTGTTTACCAATAAATTTTATATACATAATAATATTCAACTACAATATAATTATATTAGAACTATACAACAAAATAAAATTCAATGTAACCGAAAAAAACAATGAATAAATTATCTGATTAAAATTGCCTCAGTCTATGTAATTTAAAAATTTTTTACTATAAACTTAAAATACAGATATATCTATTTCCACGTTTTTTTAACCCCGACTTTTCATTTTTAAATACCTGAACTAAAAGATGGTTCCTTTCCTTTGAAAACACCATAAACTAAAATTCTATTCAAAATCTGTGCTAAATCATTTTTGCGCTTTTTAGATCTAGTTCTCTTCTGCTCAATCCGTCCCATTGCTTTTCTTAAATTGAAAAGTATATAAAATTAAAACCTATAATATTTATGATAAGTATAATTTTTTTTAAATTATAATTGTAAATAGAATCCACCATATGTACGTTTCCCCCAATTTGCCTTGAACGACATTAAAATACTCTCTTACAATGAAAAGTTTTTGTTCTTAACATATCATATATATTTTAGCATGTATATATATATATATATATATATATATATATATATATATATATATATATATATATTATTTATATAATTATTTTTGTAACCACTAAGTTTCAATTTCTTGCAAAAGTGCCATTGGGCTACTCTTGCCAAATATAATTGATAAATGGTGGTCAATCATTAAATAACTCCTATTAAACTTAGTCCAGCCCCTATAAAATTGTAAATAGTTACTACCGTAAATATGTATATAAATTATTAGATCGTTCTTCATTGTTTTTATTTCATGTTCATTTTCAATTTTTTATTATTATCTGATTTAAATCAGAAAGTAACTTATAATTTCTTTTATTATGAATATTTAAATACTCCATATTTTTGTTTATGTATCTCTAAGGCTCCTTAGTCCACATTTATTTCTTTCTGTATTATTCTAAAGTGATTCGTCCCAGAATAAATAAAGCACTATTATTATTATTATTAAACGACAACTTATGATTACAAATTTGGTATAATCATAAGTTAACTGCTAAAATTTTTTCTAATTAAACATGTACATTCACAAACTTAATATTAATAGAATAAATAGGTATGTTTTTTTAAATTTATTTATCTTTACCTTATTCTATTTTTACTTTTTATTTTTATTTGATTGTTATTTTGCTTCAGTTTATTTTATACTTCATGTACATATAGTGTGAATGTATTCTTCTCCCACTATAACCATTGTTCATGTGACAGAATGTTATATTACTCAATAAATAAATACAAAAAATAAAATAATTATAAAAAGAAAACAATCTTATTACTAGTATTTATTTGTTACATTATACAATTCCTTGTGAATCTTTTACCATTCTAGGTTTTTATTTATTTCTGTTAAGTACTATATTTGTTTTAATTTATATTTATTATTGAATGATATTTTGGTGTAATTTATTATAATGGTAATAAGAGATAATAGGGAGAATGAACGGGAGGGAGGGGATGTACCCAGTTATAACAACAAAAAAAATACGTTTATCTTATTTGTATGCTGTATTAAAATGCCAATAGGAAAAGTGTTTAAACAGTAAACAACTTTTTAAACTTTTCGCCAAAATGTAAAGGCAAAGTTTTAGACAAACTCTTTTCTTTTTTAGAACTGTTCATAGTCGGTTCTTATACATTAAATTACATGAAAAATATTGAAACATATATATCAACAAAAGGTTTATTGAAATATAGGACGGCAACCCCATAACAAAATCTCTTATACAGCACTGTTCGGAATTTGGTGGATCAGGTGTGTAAATCACCTGAGATCATCGAAACCTGTTTTCGACAGCTTGCCAAACTTTTTTCTACTTTCGATAGTTAAGGAAATAAAAAGATTTGAAATTTATTAAAATAAGTATTATGGGATAAATCAATATGTCAATGGTCAATTACGTTTTATTTAATTTTTTATTCTTTGTTAGAAATAATTATAAATTTTCAATTCAACATTACTTACGTTTCCTTGTATGTTTACAAAATATGGAGCTCTTTTAATGTGAAAATTCTCACCTGATTAAGAGGAGCATGATTTTGAGAAATTATTATGACAATGTTCAATCAGTGGAACCTTAATTTTATTTATTATGTATTCTTAATAATGATTGATGATAATTAAGAATATTATTATTATTATAAAATACTTCATTTCATAAAATACCAAAAGTCTTCTATATCGTTAATCTGGAAGACTAAAACTAAGAAGAAACTGTCAGGAAAATGTACAAAAAAAAAAAATCGTGTTTCGCGACATTATGGCTCCATTAGCTAACGAAATCCATCTTGCTTATAATCATAAGGTCTATAAATAAATTTAAATTAATTTTGATAAAAAAAAAGGATTTTAAAATTTATAAATTGTAATGAATATTATACTAAAAGAATAATAGCTTTATTATAAATATATAAGCGCAAATATTTGTGGTTGGCCGTAACAACATATGAGAAATAAAAAAAAAATCAATTCAACGGAATGCAGTCGCATTTGTTGCCATCGGAACTGCGATTTTTTTATTCACATTTCACTTTTGTAATTTATTTTTAAAATTAATTTATTTTAAAACTAAGTTTAAATCTTTTAACACAAAGGAATTATTTTAAATTAGATTAATTTATATAAAAATAAATGATCACATATCTGGATTAAAGAAAGAGTACTATCTTGTGCGAAAAATCTTATCTTACAAAAAAAATATCTTATTCTCTATTTTTTGTATAAAAAAAATATATTTCTCATTCATAAAAATTTTCATTTATAGAAAAGAATGTTTGCTTAAATGAAATATATGTATATCAAAAATACCACAGAATTTAATATAAAAGCAAAAATTCTTTTTTCTTTGCTTATCTTTAGATTCATATTTTTCTTTCACGAAAGCGCAAATCTCCGATTCAAAAAATTCAAATTTCAGTCACACCGATCTCCCGGTAATGTAAACGGAGTAAAAAGATTTTCTAAATTAAAATGATAACAATTGTACAAATGATAAATTGTAGGAGGTATTAATGTTATAATATTTATTGTTAATTTTCCTACGAATCAATTACTTCTTGTTTGCTTAAATTAGTCGGACAGTATGAGTTAATTAGAAAATGAAATGGTAAGTAAAAAAAAAACAGAAATAAAAATACAATAATTTTTATGATTATTAAACATTTCAATACTGCTACAATTAAATCGCTTAAATAAAACAAATATTGACGCCGCATTCTAGAGATACTAAGCGACTTCAGAAAAAATAATAAACTAACTTTTTATTCGTTATATGGAATTTTACATAAAATAGTCTTCTAGTGTTGTTGGTTAATACTATTGCAAACAACACAGACAACGCAACCGTCAATGGATCAAAGATCTTTATGAAGAATTTAGTATTTATAAAATCATTCATGAATGAACTTAAAATTGTTTAAAATATAAAATTTAAAAATAAATCCTAATATAGGTATGTTTTATTATTCCATGCCAAACTTTGACATGTGGGAGACTTTAACGCTCCATTGAGCCGGTCAAGAGCGAACTATTATGACACCATGCACGCATCCTCCAGACAGACGGACAGACAGATAGATATGATGATACTCACGACATCAGGTCGGTGGGACGCCTCCCACCATCGCGAAGGTCCTGCCATTCACATTTCCCATGTGTGGTGTTCTCCGTCCGAGCACTCACTGCCGCCTATGTTCCTCCCCTCCACTCACCTCCCACCCCTCGAATAGATAAATCTATCCATGTATCGGATACATTCACCCCTCCACGGGACCGGCGCCACCATTTCCTAACTGTTCTGTCGGATGATGGTCACAGAGGGCGCCACGCGACCGTCCTCGGTCTGACGGATGGCCAGGAACATCCCATATGATGGTCCTCCCGTCGAAGATAAATGGAAGTCTCAGTCACTAATCTTCAAGCTCTCAGTTCTTCTTAGACTAATATGTTTTCAAAGAATCATCGAGTTTGAAGGGACATAATTCAACGAAATAAAAATACAGATTACAGATTTTCTTATATTGTGTAAATATGCATACGGTATTTGGAAAGTTAGATCTTCATTAATAAATATACATCACATTCAAATTCTAAGCATTAACTTATGATGTTTTTCCCTTCCCACTATACCCATAGACCATCATTAAAGAAACGGCCAAAGACTTCGATCAAATACCAAAACATAAGGACGTGATAGAAAACATCCTTTCACAATAAAATGGTTATTATCATCAGATAGCAACTTAAATCGCCAAGAATATGACAAATTTAAAGTTGTAGGTGCCCAGTTAATAATTGTGTTATTCCCTTTACTTTCACTTACGTATATATGTAATATATAGTAATCGTAAGCATTGAGTACGAATTATTAGATAAATATTAAATTTTCGAATCTGAGTTTTTAACGGAAATACACGTTTTCAGGTTTTTTGAGTCCAAATAAGTCCCGCAAAATGGCCTGTGTGTGTATGAACGGTCTAGCTCAAAAACGAAAAGTTGTACGGAACTGAAATTTCATATTTAAGGTTTGTACATGTTCGGGATGTTACAGCAACTTTTCGTCAAAATCAGCAAACCGGAAGTTGCACTTTATATAATCGAAGTAACACATTTTTTTACGATTTTCTCGAAAACGGCTCTAACGATTTTAATTAAACTCGGTGTATCAGTGCATTATTAAGTTCTTTTTAATATCAGCTAAGTCTTATCCACATTGATGTCACTTTACATGGCTTAAATGCCCGTCTTCCAGTAAACTATCATTAATTTGGTTAATTTTAAATACACAAATATCTCTCATTGTTTGGAGTTATAAAAAAAAGACTAGATATAACTTTTAAAGAAATTGATAATCGAATAAAGGAGAAAAGAAGAAAAAAATGGTTATCCAGGTCAAAAATGAATTTTCGGAAATAATAGCCGGAAGGTAGTATGATATATCGTTAGAAAGCAGTGAATTTTAGACAAAAATAATATCTAATAAATAAGGTTGTAGAAGGTAACAGAGAGTGACGAAAAAAACATAAATAATAATTTATGAAACTAACATCAATTAAAATGACATGTTTCCGAGGAAATCAATAAAATTCTCTCACTAAATCTAAACTATTAAATTTTTTTTAAGTTTGAAAAACGTATTTAAAATTCATCGCATCAAGGCAATGACATTGTTTAAAATACTATTTCATTATACTTGTGTGAAAGAAGAAGTGAAATATAAAAATATTTCATGGTTCATGGTTTATCAGTGACATCGCACCAGCCTTTTTACATTGGACTGTGGATTTCCATACTTTGAGGCCTCCACAAAGTCCCATGGGCTTTAATTAGAATGATCTTCAGTTAGTTTGTATTGCCACTGTTAGTATCACGTCATTTGTAATTTAATTTTTCTCTCATGGTTATTTTTCCATAAAGGTATATTTAATTTATATTATATTTTAAATATAATAACTTGTTTTGTCAGAGCTCCTTTTTTTCTGTTTGCAATGAGATGGAGGGGAAGAATTGCATCTTAATAAAATTTCAAATTTCTTCATACTATTTCAAAGATAATATCATTAATTTTCTTTTCATCTTTCATAAATTTCATGTTAATTAACATTTATTAGTTCCACTGATTGATCTCATTTTCGTTAGTAATTCTTTGAAATTTATAAAAAAAAAAAACAATCATGGATTGAATTACAGTATTTTATAATTATTTTCCTGATTAGCATTTTATTTCCATCTCTTTCAAGGTTTCAATTCAATTATGATCAGCGTCGTCTGATTTTAATTTAGACTGTTCTATGAAGTGATATTAAGCGGTTATAATTAGAAACCTATTTTGAAATGAATCGTAAAAAAATGACACGTTACTATTTTTTATTAATTAAGTTTTTATTATTATTTTTTTTGAGGAATTTCTTGAAATTGTGCAAAATGGAAATTTTTTGTACGATCGAAAATTTCCTCTCGGCTTTTGCGTTTTCGAAGTTAAAAAAAATTTGGTTATATCTGTAACTTAGGTCGTGATCGAGGTAAAGGTATGAGAAAAAAATTAAGGTTCCACCTATATCTAAACAAATCTGTCTGTAGGCGAACGTATGAAACGGGGACATCTACTAATGTTAATTCGATATTCGTGATTTTTTCCGAGTTTAGCGAGCTCGTAAGTAGATCCTTCCATATAGATTTCTTCAAATTCTAGCCACTACTTTTGCATACGCACAATTCAATGTATTTTCTTATACTTATCTTTATTTTAAAAGCGTCTCCCTAGATGTGACTGTTTTTAGTTAAAGATACGTTAGAAACTAGTGTAAAAATGATGCTGGATCAGTTTTATCCGATTCCATCTACAACTTCTTCTTTCATATTCGCTAATGTACTTTCTTTGATGCGCCGATAAAATCGACACCACAGGTTCGACTTCGCCAAAAATTTGAGAAAAGTCAGGGATTAAAAATATAGTAGGAAATTTTACAATGATTTTTATTTTAAAAATCTGGTGCGCACAGCACACAACTTTCCCTTCGCTCTACTTTGAATATAAATTATTTTCTAGTATTGTTATAAAAACAATTTTTGAAGTGCATTTTTAACTGAGCTAAAGTTTAAAGGTTAAAGCTAACAAATCATTAATACCGTTAAAATAACAAATATCCTATTTATTATATTAACGGTTTATTATGGATTGTCCGATCCGTTGATTATGGATTGGACGATTTTTAGTTATTAAATAGTTATATTTCATTGCAAAGTTTACTAAAATGGAATTAAGCGATTTGCATTACCTGTCATAGATAGATCGAAAGTTGTCACACTAATTGTAAATGGACACTGTTGGGATATCACAAAAAGGAAAATCATCAAATTATTCACTATTTTAATTTTTTTATGATGATTTTTCGGAACAAAAGGACGATAGATACCTAATTATTTAAATATAATATCGCATCTAGAGTTATCAAACGACAGTAAATGTATTTATATATAGATTAAAATAAAATATATATATAGACTATCTAAACAATAGTTGATTCTAAGAAAAATGTATTCGAATTTTCAGATTATTAACTTGTTAGGCCGTGGTACCACAGACGGATCTACGGGGAGGGCTTTCGGGCTGAAGCCCTCCCTTCCCAAAAAAATATTAAAAACTATCTCTTAAAGTATTCTTGTTCCTGTAATTACATTTAAAAGGAATTCCAGAACCACTTACACACCATTTCATATAGATAATAATTTTTTTTTCAAACTAATTATAGCTATACTTATAAGAAAAAAAAAGCTTTCGGGCTGAAACTCCCCCCCCCTCAAAATGGAATCCTGAATCCGCTAGTGCGCTGTACAGACCCCTTTTTATCAAATTATTAACATCCGCCTGAAACTTCGTAAATAGCATTTACTTAAATGCATATAAGCACATGTTTTACACGAACCATGAAATATTTTTATATTTCACGGTTGGTGTAAAACATGTACTTGGATGGGAGACCGCTCGTTTTGGTTGACCGTCCACCAGGAAAAACCATGCTCCCCATGTTTCCCTTCTCCCCGGGTATATGAGCCCGTCAGGCTACTGGAGGCAACTCACACCAACCGGTCGTAGGACTGATGACCCTACACCGAGTACTTAATCGGGAATCGGGATGTGGCCTACCAGGATGTTAGTAGCTCACCTGAGGTTCGGTCCATGGACAGTCTGTTTCGGGGAAAGAAATATCTGAATCCAAGCAGTCATAATCCATGAATCTAGACCGATTTGTCACTGTTCTTGAACCCGAGTAAGTCGGTGGGAAAGGCACTGCCAGATTGGCCACAAAGGGATTAGCTATGGAGCTACTGGTGGTCTGCCGCTGCAAAAGGGAGACCATGGTTCATATCAATGTGATGTTGGGTGACCCTCTCCAGGCTGAACTCCCGCAAGCAACATACGTCTGTCTGTAAGGAGACCACATCTCGCGGCCAAAGATGGTCTACTAAATAGTGCCAACCGAAAAAAAAATTATACATACATATAAAATATAAATATATATATATATATATATATATATATATATATATATATAATATATATATATATATATATATAATATTGAAACCTGTATTTTATTAGGCATGTTTTACTTATGGAAGCTTATTCTGACCTTTCGGCCAAACTTGGGTGCGTGCTCGGGTTTCTTCGGTTCTATTACGACCCTTAATTTCTCCTTGACTTAATTATCAAATTATTTCATATTTTATACTTAATCAATCGTTTGTAGAAGGTTACAATACAAAATGATTAGTTATTTCATATAAAAAATAATGATTCTTTTGAGGAAGAAATTTCGAAAATTATGAATTTAAGCTCTGTCAGAGAACATACATGGAAATAAGACCTACATTAAAATTAAAATCGTTTGAATATGAATTTAATCAAAATCGCAGGCGCAGCTTTTGAGAAAATTGGAAAACATGTGTAAAATCGATGATATAATGTGGCACTTCGACAAAAGTCGATTTTAATGGAAAAAGTTTCTGTAACATCCCAGGCATGTAAAATCTTTAAATGAGCAATTTCAGTTTCGCAAGAACTTTCGTTATAGGGCTAGACTGTTCACGCACACTCACAAATGCATATATTTGGACTCAGAAGTCCATAAAACTTGTATTTTCGTTGAAAACTATGATTCGTAATTTT